ATCCATCCATGCATCCATCCATCCATCATCCATCCATCCATCCATCCATCCATCCATCCATCCATCCATCCATCCATCCATCCATCCATCCATCCCTCCATCCATCCATCCATCCCTTCTCAGCAGAGATGTCCCCCACCTGCTCTTCTGGCCGCCGCCCCCGGGGTGCCTGGGGATGGGACAGACCGGACCGAGGCTTTTGCTGCCGGTCACTCCTGCCACAAGGCCGGAGCTGCTTCGCTCTGCGGTTCATGCGATGCAAATCACCAGGAATTAATCTGTAGTATCCTTCCTTCATAAGAGTTGCAGGATGCTTTGGAAGTGGGAGTTCAAAAAAGCCAGACATGGTACAGCACGTGCCCACATCGGGGACATTGTTCATAACTTTGGGCAGGGCATTTCCACTCCTTGGCTTAGGGTGCTGATTTTCAGGATTAGGCCTGAGCTGTCTATTTAGTRGGATGTGGTGGATCCAAAAGTCAAAACACGTTAAGACAGTGACTGTGAATGCAGCTGGGAGGTGGAAGGCTGGCTGGGTAATCCCAGAGTGATGAGGAATGTTTTGTGATTATTTTGTGGCAGAAGGTAGTGCCAAATTCAGTATTCTCCTTGTGCCTCACCTTTTCTCTGACAATTTTAGTTTCACTCTTGTCTGTTGCTGCTATTGCCTTCTTTCATTTATCTAATCACATATAGAATGACACCTCACAAAAATATGTTACAGTGACTTACTGTTGTCTCTTTCTCTTTTTAATTATCACTGGGATTCAGGAATAAGACTTTGCAGATGGAAAAAATAAAGGCACGACTAAAAGCAGAATTTGAAGCCCTGGAGTCTGAGGAGAGGCACCTGAAAGAATATAAACAGGAAATGGACCTGCTGCTGCARGAGAAAATGGCCCACGTGGAGGAGCTGCGACTGATCCACGCTGACATTAATGTGGTATGCTGCTTTTCCCATTTACTGCCATAAGAGAAGCAAGAACCTTTCCTTAGCTTGTTAGTTAACTTCTACCAGTCAGTGTTCAGAAACACAGAAAATTAGTTTATACTWCTTCAGGCTCTTTTTTAATGTCTCTTGAGAGTTTTCCATAGCTCCTCACTTGCCAACTTTATTTGTAGCTTTTCTACCTGCATTTTCTGTTGTTCAGAAGGTCAAATTGGTTATATGTGCACCTTTTTTATACAAAAATGCATCYTGTATGTCACTTTCTTTTGCTTCTTCTTTGCCCATTTTTATCCTCCCAGTACCTTACATCTTTGCTTTGCTATTGCATTGTCCCAAATCTCTTCCAGCTTCAATGAGAAAAATCTCTCCTTTCTGATATGGTCTCTAGCTCAGTCAGAGGAAGTGTTCTTTAAAAACATGCCCAACCTTCTGTTTCAGATGGAGAACACTATCAAGCAGTCTGAGAAYGATCTTAACAAGCTCTTGGAATCTACTCGTCGCCTCCATGAGGAGTACAAGCCCCTAAAGGAGCACGTCGATGCCTTGAGGATGACTCTGGGATTGCAGAGRCTGCCAGACCTGTGTGAAGAGGAAGAGAAACTGTCCCTTGAGTAAGTCCCAAAGMAAACGTCTGCCTTTATGCTTTCTCTCAATTCTACTGGTCATTTTCTCTTGTTGCTTTTGTTGGTAGGTGGGAAAAAGGAACCCAAGAGGTAAGTGTGAAAAACAAAAGTTAACAAAAAAGGGACGTGGGAGGACATGTATTTGGTAACATTCAGTCTGAATTTGTTCCAAGATAATTTAGATTATTTCAAGTTGCAAACTCCACTTATCATCCAAACATTCAAGGGTGGTTGGCCTTCTAGGTTTTATACTGTAAGTTGCTTTATCTATCTTTTCCTTTTTCCCTGAAAATTACTTCTTTAGCAAGCAATAGTAGGAGGCAATACAAGAGAGGGATACAAACCAAGTATTCTTCAGTCGGTTTGTGCTGCTGCTAGTCAGAATTTTACTTTTTGTTGCCTGCACATGATGGTGGAATTTTGCCCAATACCTGTGATTGTTAACATTAAGTTTCCCCAAGATTTGGACTAGATTTGGATAAGTAATCACGGCCTCATTTTTAGGTATAACCTAKGCAGGGGAGAGTGACAGATTTAACTGCTCTTCAAAGAACAGTGTCCTTTGTTTCACAAATCAGTTTTAAATGCAAGGGATGTTTTAATAAGTGTATATTTCTTTTAATGCCCAGCACAATTAATATAGTTTTCACAGACACATAAAGTTTTCAAGATTTCCTTTGTATTTCTATAGAAATGTTGGTTTACATTCCAAAACACCTTGACACTGCAAAGAACATATCAATCTATTGTGTACAAAAGTTACTAATTTTAACAGAATAAAATAGGAAAACTGACAGAGGTGCATCTGAAGTCGTTGCCTATTTTTCATCCATAACATGTTGTCTATTTTTCTTGCTAGATTATACCCAGTTGCACATCAAAAATCCTTAGAAGCTTCTGGTCTGGAATCTGTCTGAAGTGAAGAATGCAGAAGAAAATACCACATATTCTATTTATGAACCAGTCTTTGTGTAGGCAATTTGGCAATTTGACTCAAGGAACATGATAGGGAAATGTCATCCATTGTATTTTAACACAAAATATGTTACAGACTAATTAAATACTCCAGGAGGTGGTGACATTTTTTGTTTGTTACTCTTTTGTCTAGCTACTTTGAAAAGCAGAAAGCAGAATGGCAGACAGAACCACAGGAACCTCCCATCCCAGAGTCTCTGGCTGCAGCTGCAGCAGCTGCCCAACAGCTGCAAGTGGCGAGGAAGCAAGATACCAGACAGACAGCAACTTTCAGACAGCAGCCACCTCCAATGAAGGTCAGGAAATGGAATGCATTTTTCTCTTTTATCATTGGAATGCATTATTTTATACAGTTGACTGATATTTGCAAAAATGAAAAAAATATGGGTCCTGATTCTGGTTGTCCTTGCAGTGGTTCAAATCAAAAGCAAAGAGTAGACTTCAAATTGTAGCTCCTGTCATTGAGGGTTAAGGACAAGAATGTTTTATGATTTAATAGTCTCCCTCAGCAGAGATGTAGGCAATTCCCACTACTCGTGCTTTCCATGTGCCATGGGAGCAAGGCATGTGAAAAAGAAAAAATAGCTTGGCAAAAGGAAAACTCGTAGTTAATGCCATATGGAGTCATATTAAAAGCAATGCACATATCTTATGAGGGAAATTAGTGATGGTATAAATTACCAGGAAAGGTGATTGTTTCTGCACTTGGGATCTTCAAGAGTCACATGTAGATTAATGTAACATAGCCATGGGCACTTAAATGACAGTTTTACTCAGCTTCTTCTGTAGCTAAGTAATTACATAGGGATATTCATCCTACCCAGGTGCCAAAGTGTCACTAGGAAGGCAAACTGATGTAGGTACACTCCAAAGCCTTTCTGCGAGTAATAGGCATCAGTCAAATGGAAATTAAAGGGCTTAGTATGGGGCAAAAGGGCAGAGTTAAATATGTGGAGTTCATCTAATCATCTGCTCCTGCCTTGAATTCTGTGCCATTGCAGTTGGCCTTCACTGTAACTTCTCTGACTCAGTGTGCTATTAGGCAGGTAAACACCTGTAAAACATCATTGTAACATTTAATATAAAATAGAATTTAAAGTTACTGAAATATGCACGATCTACTTGTCTGCAGAACTGTGGTTTTAAATCAATGAGATGCTCACTGAATTAATGTACTGTAGAATCCATATACCTAGATGGTACAGAGTGTAGCATCAGTTTGCCTTTGAAGGCAAAAAGCCTTATTTTAGCCTTACTGTAACTTAGAATGTTATGCTCAATGTTAGATGCTCAATAACCCATGTAACAACCCCACTTCAGTGTTTGTGACAAGAGGCTGCTATTGCATTTCAGGCATGTTTATCGTGTCACCAACAAATCCATCGGAATGCGCCCATATGTCCACTCTGYAAAGCAAAGAGCCGGTCTCGGAATCCCAAAAAGCCCAAGAGGAAACAGGATGAATGAAATCCAGAAGACTGACAAGCTGTGTGACCTATCCCAGTACTCTTCCAGTAGAACTGCAAATTTGCCCAGACTTTACTGAATTGCAGACACAAGTATCACCGTTTCATTGTTTTCTATTTAAATACAATGTAAGCACAACGTTCCTGCTCTAAGTTCCTTCCAGTCTTCAGGATTTGGTTTTAGGAAAGTAAGTATTACTGGTGCTACAGTTTAACTTTTCAATTGTTCCATCTTTTGTACTCCTAAACAAACTGGAATTCTTTCTTTAATGTGCAAGTATCCTAAATGTCAGGCTATTTCTATTTGCCAAATGTGGTGACCACAAATGCTTTTATGTTCTCCTTTTAAAAAACAAATGTTACCAAAAGATTATTCTGTTTTCTCCTGATAACAGGAGACTATTGGAAGTGCTGAAATATCAGACTGTCTGTTCACTGAAGAGCAATTTCTTTTCCAATCTCATAAGACTGGGTAGGTTTTGGTATCCAATGCAACTCCTTTTAAAYAGGAAATGTTCAGGGAAAACGAGATATATTACGCCGAAAGGCAGTGCATTAAGGACACACATGGGTTTTGATTTACTGAAGTTTGATTGTACCATTTCCTCAAACTTGACTTAAAACTTGGAAAGGTGCTGACTGTGGACAAGTTTCTAAAACTGATGTCATCTGTCATGCTTTAACATCTTAATAGGCTATTAAGATTATTTCAGCAGTTGAAAGACTGATTGACTTAAGAACAAAGCTCAAATGAACGGTGTTAGTGGTTCTCCTAGGCTCTATGGCCAACCAGCACACTGTGGTTCTCTAGGAAACATGCATGATATATCCCAGATCTCTGTGTGCACAGACTGCACATCAGCTATTCTGCATTTTTTCTATTCCTGGTTTCTGCAGCCAAAGTCTGGCAGACATATCCTCCATGTTCAGGAACATGCATGAGGAACAGTTCCAACAAAAAGTGATATATTTCACCAGAACTCAAGAGCTTTGGTGTTGTTATCCTCCTTCAACCAGAACTTTCTATTATTTTTTATCTTTTAATAGGTCATTTTCAAGTAAGCTTTACATCAGGCCAGTTTGTTTTCTGGTTCCCTGTGTGCCAAAAGAACCCTGACTAAAGCATCTGGAGTAGATCACTCCCTGTATGTCCTCCCTTTGTTTCTTGTAATTTAACAACAGTTCTTCCAATGGATGGCAGTGACCCACTTACAGAACTGGARCTTAAAATTTRCTCATCTCTAATCCCAGTTTTGTGRCCACYTTTGTTGCCTAAATTRATCTCAAGTATTAAATATTCTTTTCACTAGCTTCAGGATGCAGAAACTACTTGTTCACATTTTCTCTCTTTATCCCAGGTTTCTCTCTACTATTATGCTAGAGTGATTGTATTGAGAATTTGTTTGTTAGATGGGAAGAACAGGGAAGACCCAAGTCTCTGCTYAGAACTTTGCCAAAAGCTGGCAACTGCAATAAATCCACAGGATTCAAATTTCCTGGCCAGATCACATATGCCACCATTAATTTCCTAAGTCTGCCACAAAAAACACGAGTGATTTATTGAATATAGTCCTAAAACTTATGCCAGGGTCAGGAGGTATTCCCCATTTTAATGTTATATAGCCAAATAAACATCTGTCAACTRCAGAGACAGAATGTGGACCACCTGYCCCTGAAATTATGTGAAGAGTGGATTCTGCTTGCTGAATTACAGGGGTTTGATCTCTGTGAAATAGCAATAATGGGAGATAKTCTGACTCCATGTTCCAAATGGCAATAGTGCATTATGCATGTTTTGTAGCACAAGTACTGGATTCTGCTATTTTAGATGTCAGAGTGGTCACATGCTGTGTGCCCTGTTCAGAGCAATTCCTATGGAGTTGAGGGGGAAATGCACACAGAGTTAAAAGACAGTATGTGGACTTCCCCAAAGTGCATACATGACAGCAGCATACTTTGGTAATAGTTGTACATAAATTTAAGMAGTAGTGACAATGGAGTGGGCGAATGGTCTGCAATGAAGTAGTGTGAATAGAAGGATTGATTTGTAGAAATTWCAGCTTACAGTTCTGAAATAGATAGGGTTAGTCATAGTTGCTCTCACTTCACTGTTACTTTGCCAGTTTGTTTCCTTCTTGGGAGATCTCTGAACTGAAGAATACTTAAGATGCACCATTTACTAATTTAGTACAWCAGTTTTGTATTTTTACTTTTTTAAGCTAGTCTTATGTGCTCTTGTGTTTTACAAGGTTAGGGTATGTTGGTTTGGGATTTTTTTTATGTGAATATGACACACTGTGTTTGCATCAAACATACTGGTATTTACAAAACAGTTTTCACATCCTTGACGAAGTTCTGCCATATGAATAGCATGAATTGCTGAGAATGAGTGTAACTGAAGATAAGTCAGCAGGGTGCCCTGCCTGCCAAAAGGCCCAACAATGACCTGGGGTGCATCAAGCACAGCACTGCCAGCTGACTGTCTCACTCTGCACTGCWCTGGTGAGGCCTGGAGTGCTGGCTGCAGGTTGGGATGCCTCAGTGCAGGAATGACATCAGAGTATGACAGTGTTCTGGAAGAGCTGGGTGACCGAATTGCAAAAGCTCTCAAGGACAAGGTCTGTGAGGAGCTGCTGAGGACACTTGGGTTGTTCAGTTTGGAGAAGAGCAGGCTGAGGGGCATCCTCCTGACAACCTACAACTTCCTCAGGGGGGAAGCAGAGGAGGAGGTGCTGAGCTCCACCTTCTGATGACCAGCAACAGGATATGAGGAAATAGGATGGAGCTGCATTGAGGGAAATTCAGACTGGACACCAGGAAAACATTCTTCTTTGAGAGAGTGGTCCGACACTGGTGCAGTGACCCAGGRAAGTGGCCGTGGCACCAAGCCTGTCAGGGTTCAAGGAGCACCAGGATGATACTCTTAGCCATGCAGTTAAATGCTAGGTGGTCCTGTGAGGAGCAGGGAGTTGACTTGATGATCCTTATGGGTCCTTCATAGTTGAGATATTCTCTGATTCTGTTTCAAGGAGATAAAGTTATGTATTAGGGAACCATGGGGGTGGGGGCAGGGAGGGAAGCAGTGTCTTTCATAGAGAAAGAGTATTCTTTTCTCTCACAGAATAATGACAGAAGTTTAACTGAAGAATTCTTCTCGTGACAGCCCCAAGCTCTTTTCTCCCAGGCAACTTTCTCAAGAGACTGGAGGAATAATTATGGAATATTGATTTCTTGGCTTTCAGACAGAAGAGGAAGCTGTCTGAAGTACAGTTCTTACCTCAAGTCTACTGCATTTTTGGTTCATGGAGCAACAATGGCTTCTTCCTTTGTATCTACAGTCTTTGTGGGTGCTTCTTCACTTAGCTTAAATGTATTCTTATTTGGGTCAAATTCTCTGAATAGCCACAATGAGACCCTCCTCAAAGCATACCAGACTTTTATGTCACTAAAGTCTGGTTTAACTCTGTCTTTGTCATTCCTTTTTTAAAAGGCTATCCAAGTGACAACAAAATTCTCTTGGTATAGATGGTTTCCAGGGTTTTATCAAACAATAGTCCTGTTGTTCTGCAACCAAACAGAAAAAAACCCCACATAAAATTGCAAGCCTTTCACYGTGCCACCGACCTTAAGCTCATGGTAAAAGGATGCAAACATATTGTATCTAAATGCTTTGCTATAGAAATTTTCATACCCAAACTGGAGTGGATCAGTTGTCCAGACTTTTGTGCCAAGGACACCATTAACTATAGAGAAAATGTTAGGCARATTTAAATACTTGCACTTCCTGAATTCAACCTTAGCTTTTTAAACGGGACCCTGACTGAACCTGACAGTGGCTTCAACTTACATAATCTAAATTTGAAAGAATAGACATTGATGTATTTAAATATCATACCACTCAAGAAATTAAGACTTCACTAGCACTTTATTTAAAAGTGCTTTATTCCTTTATTTTATGTTTTCTAATTCCTCCAGCGTATGTTTTAATTTTAGCATTTAGGTATTCTAGCAATATCTGGTGTTTTCACTGGCTTCTGTGTTTTAAGTATTTTACTCCTGTGCCTCGTAGGAGTAACAGTGTAAGATCTGTTTAATTTGTCTGTACAGTCCTTTTTAATAAATGTTTGTTTCATGTCATGCTTTCTTCCTGCAGAGTATTTTCAAATTTGTTATTTGCTTATGYTGCTAAGAAGCAGCCATAACCCAGATGGTAAAAGCTCTCTGATTTTACAGSATACACTTAGCCACAATTCTATTATACCTTTATAGAAACTTTATGSGAATAAATATGGGTAAAGAAAGATCCCTTCTAATGAGCTTTAGAAAATAAAAAAGAAAAGGAGATAGCACAACTGATTGCAACCTAGCCAAACTTCTCAGTTTTGCCTTCTAAAGTTAAATTGAAAGTGCCGAGAAACACAGTTCCTTCTCCAGATTAAGGTACAGGATAGCTGGTTTCTCAGGAGTCCTGCTTTGCCCTTAGAGATTATATCTACCAGAGCWTGCTAGAAATTGCTTCTCTCATCAAACTGAGAGTAACTGAGAGTTTATGGGAGCATTCCCTAATCCAGGAAAGGATTCCTGTCAGGAAAGCCCACGTTTGCTGTATACTGCTGCTTTTTTCAGTTCCTTAATCCTAATCTCARCTCTAACGTTACTTGTAACAGTAGTCACAAAGCCAATATACATTCATACTTTCCTAAGAACTAACCCTGAAATATTCCCTATAACTAACATCAGCTTCCATCCCATTTTCCTGAGCTTAGCAAGATCCTACAGTACAATGAGCTGCCAAACCCTGGACCTTCCTAAATCTAATATTAAAATGTAGCATTAAAAATAACCTAATATATTTCAAGGAAAACAAAACAAAGTACCAAAGCTTGTCCCACCCTTAAAACCACTCTTAAAAAATTTTATTGTGCTCTTCAGGCTTTGTTCTCACTAACCTTACTCTTAACTTCCCCTCTTCACTCTATTCMAGTGAAGTGGTTTAGTGGTTGACCTAGAAGTGCTGGTTTAATGGATGCAGTGGCATGATCTCAAAGCTCTTTTCCAGCCTAAATGATTTTGTCATTCTTTATGTCTGACTCGCTCCCTTTTTCCCCTCTCTTTCTTTTCCTTTCTCCTTTTTCTTGTCCCTGTCTTTTCTGTCTTTCTCTGTCTTTCCCAACCTTGTACTTCTCCTGTACACCCCCACTGCTGCTTCTTCCTTGTCCTCTTCCTCTTCCTCTACCCTCATCATAGGCCCTGCTGCTCATTTTTGGTGGATTCCAGCAGCCTATTGCTCCAGGAGCTGAGCAACTATCAGTTCCTTTCCAGACTGACAAGCACTGCTGCGGAAACAACTGCGAAGGTGTCCCATGGGCAGGGGCAGTGTCAGATATTTTATATAAATTGAAATATAAACATATAAATATAAATTAATATATTTGTATACACATATATATATACATATACATATATATATACACATATATATACACATATATATACATATATATATACATATATACAAACATATATACAAACATATATACAAACATATATATATATACTGTTTTCAAAATACAACCCCATATCTATGGCTTTATATATACAAAACCTTAGAGTGTAAGAAATTCTAAATGCTGATATACAGGGGCTTGAAAATACGAATATAACTTTTGTATATATAACTTATAYAAATGAAACAATAAAGGGCTTGGGAACAGGAGAAAGTATGATCCCTACGAAGGCAGCAGGAACGGTTCCGAGGGGTTTGTGTCCCTCTAACACCGAGTCTGAGCCCTGAATCGCTGCTGCCACCTTGTGCCGAACCCCGGCACTGCCAACACCCCCGGGGAACAGCGGCCGTGACTCGGTGATGCCGCCTGCAGGCTGAAGGCACAAAAACAAACAAACAAACAAACAAACAAACAAACAAACAAACAAACAAACAAACAGCTCTTCACATTGCTGTGCTGAGCTGCCAGCACGGAACAGTACTAACAAACCTAACACACAATACGACCTTGGTTACAGTTGTGCCTGAGACGCTGCACAGGATTGCATGTRTATGTTCTGCAGTCTATATATTTTAGTTTTGGTCTTTTATAAAATGCTCTCATCCTTATGTTATCTAGTGTAAYAYTGCAGCTTTAGAGTAATGGKTGATAAAAAGTCATAAACACACRGGCTATTTGGAAACACTGGAAGCTTTTTCTTRTCTTGCKCCACTGGTGCAGAATTCCTGYCTTTCTGCCATCAGTTACATCTGCTTCCAGGGRAAATATATCACCTACTTAAAAATAACCTAAAACTCTGAGTTCTACCTGGGAAAAGCTATAAAAGAATTTGGATCAAACCRAAGTAATCTTGTGTGTGAAGACCCTTCTCCACTTACAAAATGCTAGAACACTAGATAACATTACTTGTTTTTTCAGCCCTTTTGTTTGCTTGCACTGAAGCAAAAAAGAATTCAGCATGAGGAACGGCTGCATGGTGAAGATCCTGCAGAAAATGGTAACTGCAGCCACGAGAGGAGGGCGTGTGCGGTGGCTTGAAGGCGAAGGAAAAGCGGCGCTGCAGGCCAGAAATGTGCGCTTCACAGTCACCATGCAGGCAACGTGGCTTTTGTCACTTTTTACACGTTTCACACGTTTGACACAGTGCTGCCGCCCGCCGTGTCCCTTTCCGTGGCTGACACTGCCCCTCACCGACAGCACCGCTCTCTCCCTGAGCAAAAATCCCACACCCAAAACCCACAACCGTGTCCCCTCCGAACCTGGCCAAAGACTGACCACCCTCAGTTAAGAAATTGCCAAAATAACCCCACTGCCCCTTGTCCCCCAGAACTATTTCCAGGGTATGTCAAGGCGCGGTTTCCTCTATTGTCTCTTGATCTCGGTCTATTTACCATCTCCCTGACAACAAAAGAAGAAATTCTATGAAAAAAAAAACCTAACCCCCAACACACAGAAACTCAAATAGCGAAGTGCAATAGCAGAGATTTTTTCCACAGCCTGAATTCAATGCATCACTTCATCACTGCTTTTCTCATTCCCTGTGACTGGGGAACTTAAAGCRACAATAACATTTTCAGTAGATACGAACAAAAACCGTGTAAAAGCTTTGCAGTTACACGCAAAAGGGTGAAACTTGTAGCACCCAYAAGTGGATATAAATTTCTCCCTCCCACCAGGCCTCGTTGTGAAGGGAGAAAAATGAAGGTAGGACCATGCTGAAGGATGGAAGGACAAAGTGCTGCCTGCCCACGGCTGTGGCTGTTTGATCCTTGCCAGCACAGGGCAAACCTCAAGCAATTCTGTGGCTTTGYTCAGACACATTTATTCTAAGTGCATCCTCGTGCAATCCACACTCTGCTCAGGATATTTTGTTTGGGAATTTCTCCTTTAACTCTTTTTATTCCTCTGTAAACAGGCAGCTGCCTTTACTTAGCAAGTGCCTGAGTCATTTCCTCTCTGAGCAATCCTCTGGGTTCACTCTGCAGTACTTCCTCTCCACATTTTCTAGATTTTCTGATATTTCCTTTTTAGTTGAGGTAGGCTGTTAAAAATAGCAACAGAGTTACACTGTATATTTGTAAAATCAATACTACCACCCCAGAGATCTCTTTATGCCTTTTCTCAGAAYAATTTCCATTTTCAGTTGTATAATTACTGTTAAGTCTTGAGGCAAGAGAAAGGTTGCATTTTAGTGATCTTAAAAAAATACCTWAATGAAGATATAAACTTCTTCAATRTAATTCAGATTTCTGCTTTGAAATATTACTGAAATCACATTGACATAAACAATCTTGTCAGAATAGGAGAAACAGAATTGAGGGATGAAAGCTTTTTGCTRTCTCTTCATCTCCACCAGATGCCTGGAGGATATCAGAGAATCATAGAAGTTGGAATTGTTAAGGTTGGACAAGATCTCTAAGATGAGTCTGACTATTATTTTGTGCTGCCAAATTCATCACCAATCCATGTCTCCAAGTGAGAATTCACACATTTTTTTTTTAAGAACTCCAGGGATGGTGATTCCAMCACTGCCCTKGGCAGSCCATTTCAAAGTCTGACTCCCTTTTCAGTGAAAAACATTTTCYTAATATCTATATTAAGTCTATATAAATATATATAAATATTATATATGCTGGTTTTCAATACACACTTCTACATTAGKTTACATTAACTATCACCTAAAACTCTCCTAATATGAATCTATATTTTACTGTGAAGAGATACCAAAATTACATGTGAAAGCCCAAACACTGTAATTTAATGAAACAAGATGTGCTGTGCCAACCAAGATTATTTCAGGAAAAACAAACAAACAAACAAACAAAAAGCCCTGGTTTTAGGTTAAAAAAAAAGAAGATTGGGATTTACCAGCTACAGTAAAATTGCTTTAAGGGAAAATGTCTCTATCCTGTTTCAGGGTAGGAACCTTGCTCAGACTATGGAGAATAAGGCTTAAATATGAGACTTCCTTACATATCCAGTAAAATGTTTCTGAAAGAAGAAAAGCCACACTTGACTGCAGTGACATTTATGCCATTGCCATCCATGCTGTCAGAACTCCAATCTGTGCTGCTCCTGGGTCTAATCCATCCTCAGGAATGGCCAAGGAAGCCTTTCTGCCAGGAGTGCCCCATCCACCCTGTCATTGCTCTGGGCAGAAACAAGCTGTGGCCAAAAGTGTGTCTGGAATTCCTGGGGCCCAGGAGATGCTTAATCTAAACCTGGATCTGCTCCCTGATGAAGGGATGGACCTCTGCAGCCCCTCAGAACAGCCCATCTGCTCTGCTTAGGGCATTTGGGAACTGAAGCAAGCTTTTAATTGTGCTCCTCCATCTCACTTCTAATTGAGTTTTGCTTTAATGTTTGTACATGAGAAGGAGTGGTAGTTCAAGRGGAGGGGACCCTGCTCGAGTCAGAAATGTGTAGGTTCAGCTGATTTACAGCAGGTATTAACCAGGGCCTCACTGGATTGTTCCCAGTGGGAAGAGAGGCTGAAAAAAAGTCAGATATTTAACAATACTGGACCTTGTTTCCTTGAACACAGAAGAGCACCAAGCCCTATTCACCATTTCCAAACYAGGGTCATTACACCCAAGGCTCTCCTCCTGCTATTTCAGGAGTCCACTGCATGACTCTTTCTCACTGACACACAAACCACCCCGATTCTCTACCCTCTGCCTCTGCAAGCACAAGCTTTGACATGCAGCCCATTGTTTT